ACTAAAATGTTAAGTCCTACTTAGATTCAAGTCAGGTCAGTTGAACAAGTTGAATGACTTATGGAGGATTAATTTATACTAGATAGGATGGTTACTAGATTATATATATATAAGTATAGTGCCATGATATGAGCTTAAGTCTCAGGATCAGTGGTTAGGGCGCGTATATCGCTAGGAATGTGTAACTAGATATAGTGTAATTGTGTACCCTGGTAGGTCTAGGTACTCATGCCCACTATATGTGCATTTTGCGTGTTACCTATTATTCAGGTTGAGACAACCCTATAGTTTAGTGAGGTTCATTTAATGTGTATTTATATATATACAGACTACTAGTTATTGTTGGGTTAACTAGGATGTATACGTGTATTGAATGTCTACTTGGACTGTGGTAGAGTAGAACTTGTTTGTGGGCCTGACCCACCATTATTTTTCAGGTGTTCATCAGGAGTAGAGGTTGTTCGTGCTGAGCAGGGATCAGTCTACTTCACTCTTCCGGATTTTCTACATAGGAGTTTCTTTTACATTTCAGTTTTCTGATATAAACAGTTATTGTTGTCACTTGTTCAGATGGGATTATCTAGGGGTTCACATGGTATGGATTCTCGAGTTGTATATTTTTGGAGGATCAGTTGTATCAGAAGAGTTTATTAATTAATAAAAATTTATTCTGAAGTTTTATTATTGAATTATCATTTAGTTTCTTCTTTATTCTTTTGTAATCTGTGTTCGTTTATTATCAATTTGTTTTCGATATCCTCGGGTGTTCGGGCGTGGGCCTGGCCAACCCGCATTCGGGAATCCGGGGGTATCACAATATGTTTGTTTTATTGTATCAAGGAAAGTCCCTTAAGGTATGTTTTGGAGTGAATTGATTGTTTCGTTTAAAAACTGCCACTTAGTTTTTTGAAAATGGTAAATTTAATCGAAACTAAAGAACAACAACGGAATGTTTAAAACAAGAAATATAATGAGGTAGCTAGGTGTCTGTCATTTGAATTTTTATATAAACGTAATATAAAAGAAATCTGTGTACCTATTTGTAATTTCAAATGTTTAAGGACAAAACAACCTGAGTTTTCAAAGTCAATTGGTAAACCATGTAGTTTATGTTGCATTCTGAAGGAGTGCAAATTGGATGGAAAGGGATAACCTACGAAAGGAAGGGAATTGAAGCATGACTATTAGTGATTTAGTTTTTTGGAATAAAGTAATTGATTATCAGTGATTTAGTGACTGATTCTAGGTAGAACGGGATGCAGTGTCCAACGTACTGTAATCGTCCCTAGTGTTAGTACGCTATCAGCATTGGTACTCTTATCTGATGGTCGTGTTGCGAGCTGTATCCTAGTACTTGACGAATGGGTTGTGTGGATCTGATTTGTTTTGTCTAGTATGGGTATCGCGGTATAACGTATGCGAGGTTTTGGTATTGATAGCATATGACAGCCCGTTAGTGGTGAATTCGCCTAGAATTGAGTTCATAGTTTTGTACATGTGTAATGTTACCGATTTTCCTTATTTCCTATTTTCAAACATTTATTTGATTTTTCTGGATTATTTTAATCCTTACCTCGTTTTGCATGCCACGTGGGCCTCGAAGGGCATTTTGGTCATTCACCGAGCCGAAGGTTTTGGAAAAATTATTATTTTTTAATCATTTTAAGTTAATTAGAAGTGACGGTATTATTTTTTTTAGAATTTTTGGAAGTCTGGACGATTTCCAGACTCGAGAACTTCTCCCGGTTTTGTCATTTTAAGAAAGGGGCATAATGGACTTTTCTCTCATATATGTATACATCTATATCTATATATTAGAAGTAGATATTTGTGGGGTATGATCCCTCTCTTTTTATGCCATTCTTTGTTTGGATTTACGGGGTCATTAAAAGTGCATTTTAGGCACTTTCTACTGGGCCGTTGTGCTCACCCCATTATTACAATTTTTCAGGGTATGACTATGACGTGGTTGAAGACGGGGCCTCACATATATAGTTATGATTGGCGGATACATTCTTGGAAATTTTGTAATTTATGCTTAGTGGATGTAATTTATTTGAAAAATGTCGATATTTCATTTATGTTGTATAAGGCATTGTATTCAAGACTTTAACGGTCTTAAACATGTAACGTATGAGATACATTTATTATTTCTTGTCCTATGATATCGTTTATATATATATATATATATATATATATATATATATATATATATATATATTGCCATGCACCACGTATTTTTGTTGCTAGATGGTTGGGTTTTGTACAATTACAATTGTAGTTGGATTATTATCTCTGTATTCTGTACAAGATAAATGCCCAGTGCACAATATGAGGAATGGCATAGTTGAGACTGCTATGATCAACATACCATGTAACAAATCAAATTCAGTTAGGGAATGTTTAAGCATACATATTTTGTCAGCCATAGCATTTGATGGGATCGTTGCAGCCCTTTGCAGCAGATCGTTTCGAGCCGTGACCACCACCCTTCTCCAAACACTGCTGATGGTACTCCTCTGCTCTATAAAGTCTCTTTGTTGGAAGAATTTTTGTCACAATCTTATTGTCTTTAAGCTCCATCTGCTTAGCTTCCATTGACTCACGTGCTTGCTGAGCTTGGGCCTCATTGTAGTAGTATATCCCTGAGCGGTACTGAGTGCCCACATCACCACCCTAACACAAAAATAGGTCGTCAAATGTAACATGGATTAGCGAGGATTTCAATCCATCAAAAAAATGCTTTTAGTATTATTTACAGCAACTGTTGTAGAATTCAAAGTTCAAAACCATTTAGGATTGTAACTTAGTTGTATCTTCTCAACTTCCCGAGTGAAAGGTTAAGGGTTCAAGTCCCCATAAGAGAAAATTGTGTATATGTTGTCTGCGAGAACAAAGTCAAAAAATAAAAAAAATAATTAAAAAAAACCACTTAATCTATCCTATAGATCCTAGTTAGGACATACAACGGAAAGGAGATTTGAAAAGTTACCACTTGTTGCTAATATTTGTGGCAAGTTTCAAAATTTTTCCTCTACATACTTCGAAACCAAATGGAGGCTTGGGCTTACATATGGGTAAGAATGGGTTACAAGACTTGAACACTTGAGGTTTAGTAGGTTTTAGGGTAGAGTGGTAGACCAAGCTAGGAGGGTTGGTTTGTTAAACTACCAAATGGCCCCAAGTTGGTTTGTTGGGTGTGTGAGAAACAATGAATGGAAATATAAGAAATATAAAGATGGATTGCATTATGAAATAATATTCTAGCAATCATCTTCGGTGTGTTTTAGCTTTGCGTATTCAAATCAAATCCCATAATTAAGCATATTCCAACCCTACTTCCAATTATACTAAACATCCATTCTTTTCCTTTCTTTATGAGTTCCCTTTGTTTGCATGATATTAATATCTAATGATTGCAATTATGAGTTCCTTAGGGAGCATTTGACAGTATCACATAATCGTTCTTGTTTAGTATACCAGTAAAATGCATGTTTTATTATTATTATTATTTTTATTTATTATTTTTTTTATAAGTAAGATTGTACTAAAATGCATGTTTTATGCACTACTGGTTTACATTGTTCCACAACAAGGAACTGGAACAGTCTGAAAACCTTATATGTTTGTTCTATTGTATCAAGGAAAGTCCCTTGAGGTATGTTTTGCAGTGAATTGATTGTTTCGTTTTAAAAACTGTCCCTTGAGGTCTGTTTGGATTGAATGATTTGGAAAGAAAAGAAAAGAAAATGTAGGTCTGTTTGGGTTGAATGATTTGGAAAGAAAAGAAAAGAAAAAAACGGTAGTGGAAAGCCTGTTTGAGTATCTTTTAGTGGAGATAAAAGAATAGAAAAGATTTAGAAAGTTATCCCTCCAAATCTCCGAGAGAATTCCTTCCCCAAAATAAGATATAAGAATATTTGAATAGAAACAATAGTGGGCTAAGTAATTTTTTTATAATTCCAAAAACCTCCCTCAATGATTAAAACAATAAAATTGTTATACCACCCATGCCCCATCTTGATACTTATAACACTCGTCTAGAGATTCATGTTTGTATTAAGTCGTAATACAAGAAGTTTTCAGAGTATGTTATCTTTTCATATTCTCCAAAAATTCGGCAGTTGCTCCAACAAGATATAATTGATCTCAGACCCCCTTTTTTTTTTTTTTTTCATCTGGGTCTATAATAATAAAATCGAAATTAGAAATCCTTACAATTCTAGAGTTTGTGTTATTTCAAAATCATACATATATTTATATATATACACATAGATAAAAGTTTTTATTTCTAAATTTTTTAACAGTTCAGGGTTTGAAATTACTCTTTATATGTTCTCATCTTATTCATAATTATTAAGAATAATTTGCTTGTATTTTTATTATTTTTTATATACATTCGGTGTGATGATAAATGATAGATAAATGAAGAAATAGTCATTTGGGATAAATATAAAAAGTATAATAATAAATTTATTGTTATTTATTTTTTTCTTTCATTTCTTTATATTTTTTTTCATAATTTATCAAAACAAAAATACAAGTTATTACAATCATTTCATTTCTTTTCCATTCTATTTGACAAAACAAGAATGCCCTTTGTTTTCTCCTGTATTCTGTAAGAGTGGAGGAGAGAGAAGCACTAGTGTCCGCCGGCAAGCTTGTTGTCGTGGTGGGCGCGATGGTCGCAGGCGTGGCAAATGGCGGCTTCGTCGGCGGAGCAAAATACGGATGCTTCGTCTCTAGTACATACGTTGTACTGGAAATTCGTCTGTGGTACAAACCCTGGCACATACACGCCATCTTCAAGTCGATTCCTGCATTTTCGTCGGCCACTCCGACTCCGCCGTCATTGGCGCCATCGCCTCCATCATTCTTCCTGATTTCTTCACCAAACTCATTCTTTGAATTGGAAGGATTTGCAAAGTGAAAGTTATCGTCTGGAAGACCATAAACGCAGCGTTTGATCAGTGCTTCTCCCAGGTTCAATCTCACCAATTCACCCTCAATTCTACATAATTTCACATTTCGATCCATACCTAGAAACGTAAAACCCTATTGATTCGTAATTTCGATAATTTAGAATCAACTATAAAACCCTATTATCCGAATGAATTTTTAAACTATTTACTGTCTTTTAGTTTTTAAAAATGAAAATTATTCTCTTTACCAAATTAGTAGATAAGTCGAATGATGATTGTTGGTTTGGTATAAAAAATAAATAAATAAATAAATAATTGAGTTGAATTAATTGAATCACCGATTTTTTTATAAATTAGTTTACATAAGAAAAAGAAATTATTAATTAAATAAATTTTAATACAAAATGAAACCAAACATGTCCTGTCCTTAAGTACTTAATAAAAGTGCCTCCACAACTATTTTAAGGCAGAATGGTCATGGTTGATAAAGTGGAGAGGGTATTGGGTACGCACAATATCTTCTGATAAAGTGATAGACATCCTTTACTACGTTTGACTGGAGTCTTTTTGTTACGAAGGTGCTAGCTAGATGGGAGGCTCTCAAAATTTAAGAGAGGCTTTTGTAATTTGACATTTTTTTTTTTTTTTTTTTTTTTTTTACCAAGAATCACACATAAGCACCCATTTGCACATGATGACTTGAACAATGACCTTTTATTTTGGAAGGCCACAAAATACAAATAGACTAGCTGCTATGTATGCGTGTTTGGGGCTTCGTTTTGAATAGCTAATTGGTCAAATTGATTGCCGGGCAAAACAGGTGAGACTTTCGAGTTTTTTTTCGTATTGTTGCTCAAATACAGCTACTTACATTCACACAGTCGAAGACCAAGAATTTTATAGCAAACAATTAATCAGAAAAGTATATCCTCAGCCTATATGTGAATGTAATATAAACCCCTGAATCAGTCTGGAAAAACTTTTCCGTTCAAAGAGAACAATGTAAATAGACCATAAATTAGAAAAGTAATATGCTTTTTTCCCCATCTTTGACTTTTAGTTTTCAACATTACCAAATCACAGAATCCGTGGTTCTCATTCACTCATGTCCCTATCAATCTCTCTCCTTCCTCACCTAATTTTAATAGGGGCTGTAAATCTGTGTAAGTCTACTGTACATAGCTCTTAAAGCACGGCAATATGGTTTCCTCTTTAATTACAACTTCATATTTCTTTTTGTCATTGTGCTTAATTATGATGTTTTCTTACACATACAGTTTCTCCAACTCCTTTGTGATTGTGTCCATTCTTTGGTTGTTTATTCCCAATAGTATTACTGAAGCTGCCCCATCCTACCGCGCCCATATATGTACTAATGAAACTACATACACTCCGAATAGCACTTTTCAATCTAATCTCAATCTCCTACTCTCTTCTCTTTCTTCCAATGCTAACAGCATTACTGGATTTTATAACACAACAGCTGGTCTTGATGCCCCCGATGTGGCTTATGGCGTCTTTCTCTGTCGTGGCGATATTGCCGGTGCTAATGGCTGTCAAGATTGTGTGGCTGATGCAGTGAAAGAAATAGTCCAGCAATATTGCCCCAACCAGAAAAAGGCATTTATTTGGTACGATGAGTGCATGTTACGTTATGCCAACCAGTCTTTTTTCTCCGCCATGGAGGAATGGCCCCCTATGTATTTGTGGAATCTATATAATATCACAGAACGAGATCGCTTTGAGCAATTGCTGGGAGAAACTGTGGATGATTTGGTGACTCGTGCTTCAAATGATGAGTCTGGAAATGTTACGAGGTTTGCAACTCAAAAAGTCAACTTCTCAGCTTTTCAGAAGATATATAGCCTAGCGCAGTGCACACCAGATATATCCGGAAGTGATTGTAATAGATGCCTTCGACAGGCTATAACTTATTTTCCAATTTGTTGTGATGGAAAGCAAGGGGGGAGGGTTTTACTTCCCAGTTGTAATATAAGGTTCGAGGTGGCCCCGTTTTACAGTTCCATACCCACCGCTCCACCGCCTACACCAATACTACTTTCTCCTCCTCCACCTGCTCCAACTCCTTCAACAAGTCCCAAAGGTAACATTTAAAATTGAACAATCTCCAATTAATTAGTGTTTATTTGTAGACCATCTAATCGTGAGTTCATTTTGTAAATTAATGCATATACAAACTAAGCTGATTTTTATGGTTTAAGCCAGTTAATTAGGATCAATTTTTTTGGACTGTGATTAACTTCGAAGGATGTAAATAAAGATGAGATTCGAACTGGTTGTTGAATCCAATTAAAAGAACTGGATTTTTTATTTTATTTTTTCAGGCATGTCCAAAATCTTTTAATTCTGCCACTGTACGATTTCAGTAGAATTCAACAAACTATGCGGGAAGTGCTCATCTGGTCACTGAATGAATTTTCGCTTGGTGTTTTGGGAAATATGTTGCTTTTCTAGTATATCGATGAGAACATTTATTTGTTGATGCAGGGAAAGGGAAGATTTCGTCACAAACAATTATTGCCATTGTTGCTTCAATTGTGTCAGTGGTACTTCTCTCCGTAGGCTGCTGCTTCCTAGTTAGAAGAGCAAGGGAATGGTATTATAATATAGAAGAAGAAAATGGTAAGTACCCTAACTAGTTTACTTCCTGAATCAAATAATAGTACCCTGACATTTGTGCTTCTGTTGAGATGTAATTACGAAATTCAGCACTTCCATTCTTTGGTTGTGTAGTTGGGAATGAAATTACAACAGTAAATTCCTTACAATTTGATTTGGGTACGATTGAAGCTGCAACAAACAACTTCTCCATTGATAACAAGATAGGTCAAGGCGGGTTTGGTCAGGTCTACAAGGTAAGAAGTTAGTAGAATTCATGTTTTCCAAATACAGTCAGCTTAAAGAAATCAAATATTCTTAACGTTTAAATGCTAAGGGTATCTTGAATTTTGAGTCATAAGCATATTTACAGGGTACTCTCCCTAGTGGGCAAGAAGTAGCTGTGAAGAGACTATCAAAGAGCTCTGGACAAGGCGCTACAGAATTTAAGAATGAGGTCATTGTTGTAGCCAAGCTTCAGCACAGAAACCTGGCGAGACTAATGGGATTTTGCCTTGCTGGAGAGGAAAAGATACTCATCTATGAATATGTTCGCAACAAAAGCCTTGACTACTTTCTGTTCGGTTAGACCCTTTGAACATATGTTTTGAATTATGTCTTTATCTTTTGAATACAATAACAGGTGTGTGATTTCCATGGTTGAGTGAAAAAATTTACTGATTTCACAAGATTAAGTTAGAACTTATGGCCTCAGCATAGCACAAATCCTATGTGTGTATTGCATAAATTCTTAAGGACACAAACCTAAAACGTTCCAAGAGGAATTGAAGATACAGGGAGTTATAGAATATTGTTCCTTTAGGAATTAACACCCCCTCCCCCTCCTTTTTCTTTTAATTGAGTCATTCTAAATTTGATTCTTCAAATCTAAGTTGAATATCTATTATTATGTAGATCCTGAAAAACAAGGACAATTGGACTGGTCAAGACGATACAATATTATTGGAGGTATAGCCAGAGGGATGCTTTATCTTCATGAAGATTCCCGGCTAAGAATAATTCATCGTGATCTCAAGGCTAGCAATATTTTGTTAGATGGCGATATGAACCCTAAAATTTCAGATTTTGGCATGGCAAAGATTTTTGGTGTGGATCAATCTCAAGGAAATACAAGTAAAATAGTTGGGACATTGTAAGTTTTTGATTACCCTATTCTTTTCTTTCTAAAAGGTGCATTACTCTTTACAACTATATGTGGAGAAAGGTTCACATTCAGAATGACTGGTACTAATTTAAAATAACAGGTACCAGAATCTTTAGCTCTCAGTAATTCAAGAAGTATCTTTTGTTATCATTTAATTTGTGCTGGTTTGTTTACTCTGGAACTAACTGACGGTGCTTGCTTGTAGTGGTTACATGTCTCCAGAATATGCAATGCATGGACAATTTTCTGTGAAGTCCGATGTATTCAGTTTTGGCGTTTTAGTTCTAGAGATTATAAGTGGCAAGAAGAACAGTGATTTCTTTCAATTAGGTCATGAGGATGGCCTTCTGAGTTATGTGAGTGCAAAAAGAACATTGCAATTGTCTTTTTCCTTTGTCCTTGCAATTGATTTCTATCATCGTGTCCATGTTGAAGAACAAAAACAATGACAATAACAACACTGTAAACACCATTTCACATATAATTGCAGGCTTGGAAACAATGGAGGAATGGGACACCATTGGAATTGATGGATTCAACATTGAAGAGCTCTTATTCAAGAAATGAAGTTGTCCGATGCATCCATATAGGCTTGTTGTGTGTTCAAGAAGATATGGAAGTGAGGCCGTCTATGGCATCTGTAAGTCTCATGCTCAGCAGCCTCTCTGTTAGTCTACCATTGCCTCGAAAACCTGCATTTTTTGCTCACAGCAGAACAGAGTACTTGAGCTTGCAACCTACAAGCAAGTCAAGGGAGTGGTCTGTGAATGAAGCATCCATTACTGAACTTTACCCCAGATAAAGTCAGAAGTTTAGGCAATTTAAAAATGTGTGTATGCTGTGGAAGTGTGAAATGAGTGAACTTAATTTCCCAGAATATGAATGATACATCAGTCATTGTTGATAGGTTAAACTAAAAAGAGCATGCGCTCAAAAGATAATAAGCAAGTTTGCAACTAGGTTACATAAATGATCTAATACAAGCCCAAATTTGGTTTAATTTAAATGGAACATATTATCATGGTTCGTTAATCAATACCGCGTTTGGTAATAGGTATAGCGAGTTTGAGGACTTTTTTACTACAGAACACCCTTTCCCAGGTCTAAATTTTGACAGTTTTGTCTTTGTAACACTTTTTGCACCAAGTGCAAGCTGGTTCATGAAAATAGTAATTGTTGAATTACCCTAGTCCATTTAGCTTGTTAGATTGAACAGCCCCTTCAAAGTAAGTTTGAAATAACGGAGTATTAATTTATTTTCCAATTTTCAGCTCATATTTAATATCATCACAATATAGTTTCTTTTCCTTTCATCTACTTATTATATGTTGTGCCGTGTACTTGGTAAACATCATCAACTGACTTCAATGCACCTATAAGGCTGCCGGATTGACTTGAATGCGTCTAACCGCTTCCCATCATTCATCCAGCCTGTTAGGTTCATTAATACATTCCATTTTTTTCTTTTTATTTTTTTCATGGCAAGAATATTAGAGTCAAGCATTCATAATTATCAGTTTTTTTTTTTTTTTTTTTTCATGGCGAGAATGTCGGTTAGTGGGGTGTGGAAGATGCGAGGCTCGAGTACGGGCTCTTGAATACGCGGAGCAATCTAACTATTCTCGAATACGCGGAGCAATCTAACTATTCGGGCACTTGCATTCCCTTCTAATTAGGGATGGCAAAAATTCCAACTCCACCCCAAATATACTATAAATTTATTAAATTACCCTTACATGCTACTCTATAGGATAAAAATAGGTTAAAGTATATAAGTCTTGTGGGAAAAAAAAAAAAAAAAAAAAAAAAAGCCCTAAGTAGAGATGACAAAAATTCCCACATTGGCGCGCCCTGCCCCGTTTGTGGCGATTTTTGGAGGATCGATTATATAAATGGGGACGGAGATGGGGGCTGCTTTGTATGCGGATGGGGAATGAGTTACCGGCTCCAAACTGCTTCGTTGCCATCCCTAATTTCTAATACTCCTCTGTTCCATATTAGTTGTCCAATATTTCATTTTTGAATGTCCCAATTAGTTGTCTCATTACAAAAGTCAAAGCAAATAAACATTATCTTTCCAACATTGTCCTTTATATTTTAAAAAAATTTCAAATTTAGTAATTATACATAATTAAACTAAAAATGACAAATCAGTAATTTTAAAAGGAGCCAGTGCATTAATTGTTAAAAATTTCTAATTTAAAAAATGGACATTTAATATGGGAAATGAGACTGTATTTAATATTAAAGGAGTTTGTAACGACCCGAACCCGCAGGTTCGAACTGTTAACCGAGTTCTTACCCGAACCCGAGGCCACCTAAGTTGAATTCTGTTAAGTTTAGTGTTATTACATCATTTTTAAAATCGTAATCATGCTTCACAAAGGTTCTATGCGACTTCCCACAACTTAGGATGAGTTTTGCCGGAGAAAAGAACAAAAAGGGATAAGGCAGCACAGTTCGATCGACCGAAATGGAGCTTCGTTCGGCCGAACAAACCTTCCTTGTATCGGTCGACCGAAACAAGCATTTCAATCGACCGGTTGTGATTTCAACAGTAACTGAAGTCTCTTGCCGAACCAGTCGGCCGAAACAGGCATTTCAGCCGGTCGAAATGGCCCTGCGAACTGGTCCTGCTACTGGAAATGTTGAAATTTGTGGAAGTGATAAAAGAGGACTTTGAAAATGCTCTAAACCTGCCCTAAGAACACTTCAAATGATAAAACCACCTACCATAGTCATGATTATCAACATTTCAATAGGATACAACATCCTTAAAATACTTTCAAATGGAAAATCATGCATAGTCTTTACATTTAATTCAATTTACATCAAAATGGTGCTAAGGCACATAGTTGAATTGCAAGGCCATGTTTATTAGCTTAAATACATTTCTAAAGTGATGCTATATAGAAGAATGGCCTAAAGACAAAAATAGCAAAAAAAAAAAAAAAATGGACTCCTAGTATCTATCAAACTTGTGGTGGATTGTCATCCGCCACCTCTTTTCCATAGCCTAAAAAATGTTAAATATAAAGGGGTGAGCTAATTGCTAAGTAGGTGGTGTCTAAGACACACCTCTTGTGACCCCGTGAAGTCAAACAATGAATAGAATAATCGCGAACTGGATCATGCTATGCCGGGAGAAAATACAATAAATTACAAAACCAAAATGGATAATGGGATGCTATGAAATGCTATGCTATGCTATGTCGCTTCCCGTTGTCAAAATCACTTCCATTCTCCACTTTTCAAAACATTAACATAACCCGTCCTTCGGTGACTCTTCGTCGACATGAGAAAATGATTGGCTACTGTTCTTGACCCTTAATAACTCCGCGGTGTCATTTGGGGCCCAGATAGCTCAACTACGCTAGGGTGATTTCTCTAATTCCCTCTAGGTTACATTAACGCCACGGACCCTCGGTTCTTCCTCGGCGTCCGTGTTTTCTCAATACCACTTATCAAAAATCTTTCCCAAAACCCCCTTTCATTACAAAACAATTCTTTTCCATTTTTTCCATTGCCCAATGCTATGCATGAATGCATCATGCTTTTCCATGTCATGTCAATGACCACTATCATACATTCAATTTAAGTTCAAGTCACATAGCATAATTTTACAAGAACACCCAAAGGAAACATTATGCTCTCACATCATGAAATTTGGAAAATTCTAGACATAATAGACATAAAATATTATCAATTAAGCATCTTTTCATATAAATCAACTACTACACATAGTCATGAACTTCATATACCACATTTAAATAATTTTAAGGATAATCAATATGAATTAAGCATGCTTGATAACAAATTACATACAATTAATTGTGATACCCCTCGATTCTAGAGCCACGGGTGATCAAGTTTGAGCACAGATCCGAGGGATACCAGACAATTAATATGTAAACAAGTAGGAATAAAAACTTAATTAATAATAAAATAATAATGCGTGGACAGAAAACTAAAATAAAAATCCTCAATCTTAAATAATAAATTAATATAATTTAAATCTGTACAACTCGGGAATCCACCTAGTGGACCCCTAATCCCAAATCCTCGAATACAAAATTAAAATAGAAAGGAAATCCTATATAACTGGAAGAGTGAGTGTCTGTATTTGCATCAACACGATCAAGCTCTAAGCCTAGTACTGTCGAACACCTGAACAAAATAAGAGAGTGGGTTAGGCCCACATGCAAGTCCTGTTCTACTACAATCCATACATAAACCCGATACGCAGATACATCCTAGATGGACTTAACAATATCTAGAATAGTCCATATATGTATAAGTACACACTATAGGACGCTCACTAGTCCAATAGGTTTGTCTCAGCCTGAGTAGAGGTACCATGCAAATCGCACATAATGTGGTCATGTGTACCTAGACCTACCAGGGAACAACATCTCTGTCTAGCTATCCATCCCAGGCAATATATGCACCCTAACCATGGTCATGAGACTCAAGCTCATACCATGGCATCATAACATAAATATATAAAGTCCATGTCCTCCTAATACAAAATATCATCCATCTGATATAGTTGCTTGATATCTGTATAACAATTCATCCCAGAAATCCAATTATGCCATTCAGTTATTTACTTACCTGACACTAACAGAAGTCGGACTTAACTTTTATTGTTAATCCGAACCTTAATCCAGATTAGGTAGGCTTAGTATCTGAACTAATCCATACCTAGTATGCCACCGTCCCGTATCGGTGCATATTACCCTCCATTTACCATAGTGACAAAACAGTATAAATAGTTATCAACTACATTCCAAAATAAGCGCAAACATAATTTAACATGTGTAAACCTAAATCATGCATCCCAGAAAGGATTTAGAATCCTAATTACAGTCCATTAAATTGGCAAAGTAAGACTATACACTTAACTCCTTCGAACAGTGCCATAACGGATACAATATATAACAGATTAAATCATCAGTTAATCCTAACTAAGCATACATTTAATTAAACATCATTATGCTTATAGCACAGCTGCAAAACATGATTCATAATTTTAAGTCATGCAGAGAAATTAACTTGCTAAAACAGTAAGCAGTTATAAGATAAGATTCAACCATCCTCATACAGGTTCAATTTTAACCTTAAATTAATTCCATCTGTAATGTCTGAATACCACCATGCTTCCCATTATTTTTATAAGTCTTTAGCAATGATATACACTCTTTAGTAGCATCCAGACAACCTTAGACAAACCCTAGTTCAGCCAAACGGACCCTAAGTATCAGTTTTATGTCTTAACAAGAGAAAGAGAAGGCTCTGGAACAAAAAAGCCTTCTCCATTTCAAGGAGAGCCTTCTCCATCTCAAGTTTCAGTAAGCAATTCAAAGAACCAAAACAGTGTGCGTTCTACCGTTGTTCCTTAACTGCCACTTGCTCCATTCCCTAGTCCAATTATGAATTAGTGTTTTTTTTTATTTATTTATCATAATACAGGTCTGTCGCAGTCCTAAACATCATTTAAAACAAGTTAAACGAAGTGCAAATACCCAGAAAAGCCCAAACAACCCCTAAACAACTTGTTTCAGTGCGTTTCAAGAGAGAGCAGGCTCTAAAAATGGGAGCCTGCTCTACTTTTCACCTAGAGCGGGCTCTAGGGCTCTTAGAGCCGGATTCAATACATCTAGAGCCGGCTCCAACTCTTTGGGAGTTGGCTCTACGGTTTTTGGGAACCTTCTCTCCCTCACCTTAGTAGCTCTCATCCGTTTCACCTTTGTCTTCTTCAACTCCGGTGACTTTCCAGCCCTCTGTACTGTATCAAATTCTTGTTCTAATATTCAATTAACATTCTAGACTAATTACAATACAACCATATGCACAATTAATCTCAAATAAACAAGAACTAAACATGTACATAGAAGGAACCAACTAACAGAAACTTTAAGAACTTTGCATAACAGTTTCATTCAACGAGTTTTAATTATCAGTCAAGCATACATAAAAGTTTGTTTAAGTATTCATTTAAACTCCTGGAGTCCATCTAAGCATGCACAGATCACAAGCTTAAGGGAAAGAGAAGAACAGAGACTTGCCTTGAGTTTCAGTTTTGAAACTCCAAACCACTGCCTCTGAATTGTCCATCAACGTTGTAGACCGTTGTTCCATCTTTGTTGCTCTTAGTTTTACCAACGAACAACCACGCCTTCCTCTTCCTTGGTCCAACCTTGGTCTAAACCAAACCCTAGCTTTCCTACCTCTGCTTTTCCCACACAACTCTC